ATTTCACTAGCACTTTTTATACTGAAACAGTGCTCCGTGACAATTTTTAAATTACCGGCGGGGCAACAGGCCACCGTATTTTGCGCTCCGTACAACCATCGACTAAAATATATTATTTTCAAGGGAATGACCATGAGTCGGAGATGCACGATCAAATCGGTTGAGGCCGTGTGAATATGACACTTCCGCAGGGTGTGTTGCTCGGCCATACGTACAGAAGACACCCTCACCCGTCATACCCGCAGCTACAGTGAACTATTTAAATTTACCACGCCGAAGCGCATTATAAGGGCGCGGCCGGATGCGGCACAGCAGCAGGCATTGCAAGTGCCTGAATGAAATAAGCCGCATAAAAAGCATTTGCGCATACTTCCCAACAAGTTCGACACGTCGCGTGCTCTATACCGTCGTGTTTCGGGATGGGTGCATCTCCAGGTTCCACACCTGTGCGCCCTGCTACACACTTTTCTCCACACAGAGATAACGGAGAGCAAAAGATGACAACAGGCCCGACCAGGTCAGGCGGCTCAGGCACGAGGCACGCACCACACGGCGGTATCATACATCGACCCCTCGCTCAGAAAAGACCAGCCGTGTTTATACGTCGCGCTTACGTCCTCTTTTCTCCAAAATCTACAACACCAGTACAAGAAGAAGCCTTTTACTTTTTATTCTCTTTCCCACCACCACCACCGAAAAACTCTTCTTGGAAACCGTGAAAACGAGTTCTGCGGCGAGGTGGGCGCGACCAGGAGAGGAGAGCCGCCGAGAGGAGGGAGAGAGGTCGCGATAAGAGCGCGAAACCTTCCCCAGCAGCAGGCTCCTCCTGACGACAACCGGCCGGACCAGAACAAAAGACAATTAGATTCTCCAGCTCAGCAAGGGCGCTGCTCCTATAGCCACGCGTCGCGCCTTTATTCTGACGTCATTCCAACGCATTGGTGAGCCTCACACGCAGCATCATTATCGGGGCTCGCGGTGCTCAATTTGCATAATGTGTGTGCGGGCGACGCGTGTGTGTTGATTCGTTATTATTAATAGTAGTTAACACAAAATTAAAACGTGGAATAGGAAATCAGGGCGCAGCAGGGTCCTAGTACCCACAGCCGCCGGTGTGGCTGGGGTAGGGTGAGCAGGGAATGCCACAATACACAAACCCCGGCCCGGGGATTACCAAGCCCAAAACTTTTGCGGAAAACTTTGAAACTTTTCAAAAAAAATAAAATAAAACAGCGAGATATTTCTAGAAAAAAATGAGAAAAAATTTAACTAGGTAGGAAAAAATTCAGGCATTTCAAACAAAATAATCTTGAAAATTTCTCGAAAAACACTTTTTTGGGGGGTTGGAGGGTGGGGGAATTTAAATCCATACCCCCAACCCAACCCAACCCACACGACGACGCTGTACTACTACCTTGTTGTTATGACTTGCTAATCACGATACACGGCATTTGCCTTTCCCTAACGGGAACCGTCGCGTGTGAGCCACCGAACGGACATATAAAGCCCCCCCAGCTTGCACCTATTTCGGCCGCGGGGGCCACCCTTTTCTCCGCTTCCCTCTCACAACTTGGGTGCGTATCCTGGCGGGCGACCCGTCGTCGACCGTCCCGGCGGCCGGCGGCGACCGACTTGGGACAATAAGCAGGCGGTTTTGCTCGGTGGGTTCATCATGTCCGTTTAGATCAATCACAGCAGGCTCCTATTTGGGCAAATAAGTTGATTCCAGACACGACACAATAACGATAGTCATGGGAATCGTCCTTCGACGTAACGTAATGTAGTTCTCGATTTTTTGTTGTTTTTCAAGCACACCAATTTCTAGAAGCGAATTTGCATACTGATGTGGAATAATCTGGGAGTCAGAGCGAGAGAGAGAGAAAGGCACCAAGGTGTCAGCTGGTCAGTCGCAGCCCTAGTGAGCCCTGGTCAGCACGGCCCGGCCTCGTATCGCCGGCAGTGTTGCACAAGCCTGACCCTGTGACAGAGGCCCCAGGCCTGACGGCCCTGTGTGGGCTCGGGCCAGCCTAGTGTGGAACACACATCATACGATGGCAAAGGGAGGGGGGAGGAGTCAGTAAGTAAGTAATAAGTACAGTCAACCTATGCGGGGAAACATCTCTGGGATGCTCAGTCTCACCAGCGAGGCTTGATGATGATAATGATGTGAGGGGCAGATCAGGGTTGTGGAAGGGTGTCAATCCAAGGAATCGAACTACTCACACAAAAGGGAAGTGGAGGAAGTGAGGCAACACGTCCCAGAACAGCTTCATAGATGCGACTTTATAGGGTCGTAGGAAGTTAGACATACATGTCTTACATATGTATAATCCCATAATGGCAACTGCATCCTGATACATTATTACCATTTAGCGGGGAAATTGAATTGATTTGGAATTCTCACGATATGTTTCTATTTCAGGCTGTAACAATTGTCTGTCAAACGATACTGATCAAACTATATCACTCTTGAACGCTTGCCCAGATATGACAGTTTTTGAAAACCCAGCTGACTGATAGCTAATCAAATGTGCGTCGTTAGGCGTTATAGTCACAACCCCATTATCTCCTTTACCAATGATGCAAGATGTGATGTAAGGTGAGTTTGATAAACAGAAAACACAACCATGTAATCTTCTTAATTGGAGTACTGTATAGCACGAGTATAAATTAGCGACAGAGGATGGCCTTTTCTCCAAAGTAAAATACAATTAGGCGTCGTGACGCTTCCTCCTCTGCTGACCTACACAACAATTCTGCTGCTGTGGCATCAACGCCGTGTAAACAGACCCCGTCCTCAAGCTCGAGTAGCGGAGAGCAACATACCTGCACCGTTAAAGGTTTACACCCCATACAAAATATGCAGATTCTTGTCATGGAACAACCTGTCAATTGGAGTGTCCGCAATAAACACCAGTATTAACTCCGTCCGACTCACCGGCGTTCCAGACGTGCTAAGTGCATTCCTAACCTCTAGACGTGCACCCGGAATAAAAAGGAGCAACACTGAATGTGTGACCCCAGGATCCACTCACCACTTCCTGACTCGGATGACCCGAGCGTTATACGAAGGCTAGCGGCAAACTTGCGCTAAAATTCAACAGAAGACGCGAAAAGGACAAGTTGCAACGGCGCACACGTTGTTGTTGATGCACCTGCCGGACCTGCCGCTACACCACCGACTCCTTTACTAGAGTCCTAGAGGGGAGAGAAACGCAAACTCGAGAAATGCGTCGATGAATCCCTCATACCGCTACCCCACCCTGCCCCGCCACTCCTCCCCGCTGAAACCAAATCTCCCCAAGATGGCCGCGTGAGCATGCGCACAAGCGCGTGCTCCTCAAGATGGCGACTCGGGTTTAGCAGCTGTTTACGTGCCGTAGTCCGTGAAGCGTACGGCTAAAATCAACAGTTTTTAATATTTAGAAGTTAGCCAGCACCCCAAAATGCAGCGAGCCGAACGGGTGTGAAATTTAGGTTTCCGATCGATGCTTTACCAACACAGGACGTCCTCGTATTTTCGAGAACAGTTAGTTTCCCCGGTTTTTCCGTCTGCTGGCAACGTCGCCCGGCCGCAGCCGCCGCCGGCCGCTCGCGCAGGTTAGGTTGCGGAAACATGTAGCACGAATACTGATCGTTCTTAATAACTAGAAGTCGTACCGGAAAGCCAAAATATCGGAAACAATGCTTAAACTCTACCGAAAAAGGCGCTCAATATAGTTTAGAGCTAACTATAATTTTAAATTTATAATTACAAATTAAAACACACACCTTACGGTCTGTGACTAAAAATATATAGTTTTCACCGCTTCCTTTTATTAATTGGAGTGTTGTCACTAAAAACTAAATATATCGTAAGGATCTTTGA